TTGGCAATAGGCACAAAAGGGAGTTTTCGTAGAACGCGTTGCCCCCTCCGCTAAGCGTTCCGCAACGAAGAAGTTGCTACTGCGCCTGCGCGGCGATACCCTTGGCTGTGGAGTTCCCGCTAACGTAGCGGGTTGCGGAGGGCCTTGCGGGACGGCAAAAACGATCTACGAAAACTCCCTATTTTCTAAAGTAAAACGAGTAACTATATTGGCTTTTCGTCGTTCGTAGAATCCTCTTTTAATTTCACAGACCAAAAATAAATTGCGGTAATTAATTTCGATGAAACAGTCAAATAAAAGCTACATTACCGTATATAACTCAACATCTCTTTTTTTTTTTTACCGAAGTCGTATATATTTTACCTGAATCGGAAAATTCTGTCTGGTAGGTCGCCTAAAATACTCGTGATTGTTACAACTTTACGTCGCAATATTAAAAGTCGAATCCTATTGTGCTTTTGAACTTAGGAATTAATTACAGCACATAATGTTATAAAATGGGCACGTCCTCGCCACATATATTCTGAAATCTGGTTTACAAAATACGTTTCACAATTTATATTATGACGACGCAACTGAGTTAGAAGCAATAATATTTTCGAAGTGTTAGGAAAGCTTTAGAACAGACCCCTTTCCGTGTACCTTCTTTATAAACACTGAGCGTATATAACAACGCCTGCTTTCCTGGCCAATATTGTTTGCACTCAGCACCATGATGCAGGCGAATATTTCTGCAGAAAAGAGTGACCTTCGTACCCAGATCGGATCTAACCTAAAATAGCGCGTATCAAAATGAACATTTTCGACATGGCTTGGCGTTGCAGGTTTGTTCTTGACAAGATGCCGGTCAATTGAATTTTCAAACAAGCATCACCCTTGTTTGTTTGTTTTTTGTTAAATCGAGTAATAGTTGACATTGCAGCTGTTTAACTGGTCACTCTCTGAGGGCCTGCGTCCGCAATCGTCATATTTTTGACACGCGCCACTGTGTACTTTGTTTTTGTCCAGCCCACAGACACTAAAAATTGTTTTCCATCACATAAAAGAGGCAACATACTTCTATATGTTTCGGAAGTTGAATATGGGTCAGGGAACTCTCAGATCACTTATAGACGTGTCTATCAAGGATAAAAGTACCGTTAAAGATTTGCAGAGCATATTTCGGATAATTTGGGGGAGCATTTTCTTATGATGTATATCTTTAGGATGATCAGTCCTTTATTTATGTCGTCAAGTTTTCAGGCAGTAACAAAATATTTTTTATTGTCATTAATAAATATGACTGCATGAAGGTCATCCTCCCGTGTCGCTTATGGTCCTCCTGTGTCGCTTGTAACCGACACGGGAGGACGATACTCGAAAGTACGCCATCTCTTATGTCTGCGGAAATGTTTTTTTTTTGTTTTTTTTTTCGCTCTTTGATAGTGTGAAACACCGGGCCGCTGGGTACGCCCGAAAGGACTGTGTGCTCACATTATAGACCTGAAGGCCAATACACAAAGTGTGCAGAAAGAGAGATAATAAATGGTATTCTTCTCCAGAATCCGATACACGAAGCCTTACTGCAAAAAGAAATATATTGAGATGCATGTTCTAAACATAAACACGCTTGACGGAACTCTGTCTGGTTGGGCCGAAAATTTGAGAAATACAGACCTTCATCAACCAAGTCCTAAATATTTAGGAGCCCCTCCCTCCGCCCCCCCCCCCCCCCCCCCCCATCTCAGGGTCTACAAGATGTCGATTCATTACTAGCTCGCCCGCACTCCCTCACTGCTTACACGTCATTTTAATAGATCCGGCTTTATAAGTCGACAGGTACTTAAACACCGGCGTATGTCGACGGACTAGGGCACTTGAAGAGGAGAAAGTGAGTGAAGCACACGACACACCGTAGATGGAAAAGAAGGTGCTGCCCTCAACATGCAAATAGTTGACCCCGATGAAAAATACGAATTGGTTTTGAAACGTCGGGCTCTTAACTGTTAAGGACATGGTTGGTTATGGTCTGTATTTGTCTAATAGAGATGCGTGCATTCATTTGTCTAATTACAGATAAATAGCGCAAAGAAGAGGCAACATATTTCTAATTTTTATTACATTAGGACATCGGCTTGCACGAGCTCGAAACTTCGCAAAATACTGTCTCGGGAGGCTAAAGTTATATTCTATTCTACTTGCGCTGGTTCTGGAACTCAATTTACAACTCTGTGCTATATCAGTCATGCGCGCTCCAACAATTTATTGGGCTGCCGCAGTTCATTGCAACCCCAGCGCGTGGCCATGATTAAAATTGGCGGCATTAATCAGCTCCAGATCACGTGGCCGCTTGCTGTGGCTGCCAGTTGAGGGGGTGAAAGCTGCTCCTTTTTCTTTAATTCTTTTCCGGGATTTCTATAGCCAACCTGCAACGGCCAGGCGGCGCCAGCAGGGTGAGAGCGCGGGGTTATACCCTCTATCGTTATAACTTGGCAAAGGGTAAACAATAAGCCCCACATTGCATGCCGAAGGCTTCGAAATGCGCGACGTATACGAGCGCAACGCACGCATTTTGGAGCATGACGCAGCGAAAAGCCTGATACTTCTTCGGAGTTTAGGAGCGCTCCGGTGATACGCAGTCGCGTTCCGATTGGCCCGCCAGGGCCGTAGCGTCCGCTCCACTGGCACGTTACGCGATCACGGCTTCCTGGGATACCCAGTATTTCTTGCTTCAGACACTAGGCTAAGCGGCGCCACCAGAGTAAAAGCTCACGTTTGAACAATGCAGCCGCCACTCCCAGGGGTACCCACTATTTCTTGCTTCAGTCGCTAGATGGCGCCAAACCAAACAGCATTGCAGGTTGCCTATTGCGTGGGGTGAAAAACGAACGCGTGTTTCATAGGCAATTATCGTCAGGGATCCGTTTTAAGCGGTATTTCCGCAAAGTACAAAAATTGTTGCATCGTCCCTTTAAAGTATGCGTGAACCGGCCTATACGGCAGCTTGCAAACAGCAGTGCGTTAGCGTGTGCCAGCCGCCGAGCCTTTAAGCTCTGCTGCGGTGCGCAAGTGAACATTGAACACGTCTGTCAGCTTCTGTTGATTTGCGGTAAAAAGTGTCCGGGAGGAGTAAAAAAAAAGCAACGAAATAAATATGAAGTCATTGCATCTTTTCTGTTCTTGTTATTCTTTCTCGTGCACGCACCCGCGAGAAAAGTGATTGAGCGCCATGACCAACTAGATAGGGGGGCCTAGCGAGATAAACTGGCAGCTGAAAGTGACCCCCATCTGGCCGCAGCCGTGTTGCACATTTTGTGCCACTTGACACGTGACCTTGTAGTTTTACGTCTCGATTTTGAAAAAAGTACCACGCACAGATAATTACTTATTGATCTTTAATAACAGTACTGACGAGATAAGTCATGTTTTATTTATTTTAAGTCCGAAATATGCTTTTACGACAATACCTCGGGCAGCTTCGCCATGGCTCCGATAGACGCCGTCAGCCACGGTGCTGTATTTTAGGGTTTTTATCGGAGATGGACTCTGATATATGCGAACAAGTGTATTGAGAAATAGCTTCTGATGTTTTTTACGGTGATCACAATACAAATCTTGGCGGAGTTTTGCGTAAAAGCCTCAGGATTTGGTACAGTCACGTGTATAGTGGTCAAAATTGTACAACATGGCGGTTAGCAAGGGGGGGGGGGGGATACCTCTAAGCCCCTCTGCCTCGTAGGTCATGACGCACAATTAAAACACGGCCTAAAAATATTCTCTATGGCAGTCCAGGTGCACTGGAAATCTTTAGCTAATAGACTTTCGAAGCGAAATGACTGTAACATACCTGGGGAAACTTGATGCGTGCACGCATTTAAGTCTGCACAATAATTTCTTTTTGGTCAGTAAAAAGGATACCAGCTGTCTGGGCTAGATAATTAAGTCACGAATGTCCCCTCTTAAGTTCAGAATGTAAACATAAAGCCGGGGTTACACTGTTAATGCATCATAGAAAAAAAACTCTGCACCAAGATTTGAACACGAGCCATCGCGAGATCCCTGCTTCGAATGCCGAGTGGAAATGAGTTCAGGGAGGAAACTTGGGCAGGTGGCCTTCGAACCACGAACATTGCGGTGACTCGTGTTTGTATACTGTCGTTTGAGTGATGAATGAGCGGAGTGATACCGACCTTACGGATATCTTTAAAGCGTCGCCTAAATTCGTAGGGTAATTGACGTTATACCAGAGTTCCGAATTACGTTTTATTATTCTAGCGTTCACGAAATTTTTGCTTTATAAGCTAGATATATAGTAGTCACCGACGGCTTAAGAAATACGGGGCGTGTAACTTGTTACCTTAACTCCTCTCGTTTCGTGATTCGTTCTTGCGCGTGGTTATCAGAAATTGCCGAAATCTAATCGGTTTCGGAGCAATAATAAAACTATTGGGGTCCTGGCAAGCGCTGCGTTGTTTAGGACGTCAGTGACCATAATTACCACGTCATATTTCCTTTCCTTGTTTCTGATAATGATATACCCACGCCGGTGCAAGCTAGGAAGCGATAAAAACTGGGTGATTGTATTGATTTGGAAGACGCCCATCCATAGCAGAGTTACTGTTTTTTTTGTTTTTTTAAATCTTGTCAGCTTAGTTTTGAGTTCATTCCCAGGACGTAGTACGGCGAAATGTGACTTTGTTGATTCTGTCGCGTCAAGGCTGTTTCAGGCGTTTGTGTGAGCTGCAACCAGAGAAACCAAGGCGACGAGGGAATCGGAACAACAGAAATTTATAATTGCCTTCCGAAGCTACTTCTAGCATTTTTTTTTTACTTCGTTTTGTATTACGAACACTTGTCTCACATGTTAACGCAGCCTCTGTGAACAATGCTTTTCCCTCAAGAGAGTCTCGTCACAAACGTCAGCTTTGATCCGGTACAGCTGTATTTTGATATAACAACATAAAAAATAGGAACTTATTTAACACCTAGGCAGTGTTCAGTCAATTTCAAAAGAGGAGTGAATGCAGAAAAAATACGTTGTAATGGGACTCCGGTGCGCATTGTTGTTCGCATATTTCGCCGCGGCAGAGGTCTTGGCGCAGTACCACAGATGGACACCGAACTTTCATTGGACGGAAAAAATGACCATAAAAAACCCGGAAAACAACCCTACCTTCAACAACCCAGATCTTGGGTCTCTGCAAGATGCATGGAAGGTATGTGATTATGATAAGAGGAGGTGGGGGACGAAATAGAGGCTGTCTTCTTAAGGCTCTACAGATATGTTTTAGAAAAAAGACACGAAAGCTATGCTCATGCGGACTGAAAGACATAATATAAGTCGGTAAGCGTCACGATAAATCAGTTAATTAACAAAAATTTGATCATCAACATTTTTATTGATTGAAGAGAAAGATATGATTCCTATCAGAAACATTCTGGGTATCATCGAAAACTACTAAATGAGTAAATACCAGAATTATTTGGAGCGCGTAGGAAGCGCGCTAAAGTTACCATCTTTGAGGTGTTCTGGAGACGACATGAGGTCCGAAGTCTTCCGGTTTAGAGGGACACGCCCCCAACGATGACCGAAACCTAAAGACGGTATTGGACGGAAAGGACACCTGGTTTGGCACCAGCAGTGGCTTCGGTGTGGTTTTGGTCACCCTGGGGGCCGTTCCACCGACCGCGTCCTCCACTTCCGGCTTCACTTGGGATTTTCTCGTATGGCTGGCTTGAGTCGCTCTATCGCCTCTTCTTCTTCCTACCTCCATGGTTAGAATAGAACTTCAGTGTACTAGAGTACGAGGAAGTGTTGGGAGCGGAGCCATTCGCGTGAAGCGCGTGGTGTAGGAACCAAACCGGAACCAAACCGTTGTTTTCTTTTTGACGGAACCCAACGTTACTAAAACACTCAGTTGCGAAGCTCACCTTCGAAACCTCGACCGCTGGCGTTCACCGAGACCGAGATAAATACGATAACAGCGCCGCCCTTTAGAAAGGAGTTGAGACATAGAAGTTGCTTTATACCGCTAATAATAGAGTCAGTGAATGTTCCCAGAGCACCGAAACTCTCGGGCTCGAGGTGCCACAAAGGCTGTTCAACCCCTTTTTTTTTTTTTTTTTTTTACTGTGGTTAATATGTGCTTTTAGAAAGCATTTTTTTCTTTTTTTTTGCGTCAAAACAAACGGAAGAAGTTCTTTTCTAGGAGGATTTATCGGAGATTAGTACAGAATGTAAGGCACATGATGTTTTTTTTAAATCTTTACTTCACAAGGTTTTTGTTGCATAATTTATATTGTTTTTAACAACCATGTCTCACCGGTGATTTCAGGTAGCGCCTCCCAATCTGGGCGCGTCCTAGCTTGGGTAGTAGTTCGGGACGCGTCCGCTTGGAAGATTGGCGTGGCATCGCTGACGCCCCATCCACCGTATATATTTCGGCGCCAAAATGGCCGATTAAAACCAAAATACATGAGTAACAGTGGACGCTATCGAACGCGATACCCTTGAACCAATTCAAGCAGCCGTGCAGTTCCCCGAGTGGCCGCTGCGGGAGAAATGGTGGCGTTACGATCGCAATTAGCTCGGTTCTTGAGTACTGATCAGTGCCACCTTTTTCAGATGCAAAAATGTTCCAAAAGCCGGGATTCATGATTAAAAACAAATACCTCCGACTTGCATAACAATATCAACATTTATCAGACGTTTCGTCTCCTATACGGGAGACATCATCAGTGCGGCCTGGGAACACCCGACTAGCTACCAGAAATCCAACGCTTCTTCTTCCTTCTTTTCATCCGTGGCGCTGGTTCTGCCGACTTCTTCGTCATGGCATACGGGAGACATTATCATCGTCTGCCCTCGCTTCAACTTCTTTTTATGTCCGTCCTGGATGGTAAGTTAAATGACAAGTTATTTCAGGATGTCGGTGTATACGTCGGGGAGGGGGCCGCGGTTAGAATTGCAGGCATCTACGACCGATTGTGTCGTTTGTTGATTCCCCCACGTACAACCTATCTAAATATCTAGTAGAGCTGCTTTCTCCCATAACAGGGTATAACAACTTTACAGTTATAAACTTTCGAGAATTTGTTGACCTAATTCGAGGTCATGTTCCGGACAAGGGAGATGTAATGGTCTCGTTTGATGTCATATCTTTGTTCACTAATGTTCCGACCACTCTTGCAGTGGAAGTTGCCGAAACACGCCTACGTAATGACTCCACACTTTCGTCACGGACATCTCTGACAGTTGAGGATATTATTATTCTTTTGCGTTTTTGTCTAAATCAGTCGCATTTCACCTTTCGTGGACAATTCTATCGTCAGATTGAGGGTTGCCCAATGGGTAGTCCGGTATCTGTGACCTTGGCTAATCTGGTAATGGAACACATGCTTAGAGCATACCGCGTTAGAAGTAAAAGCATGCCCTGTCAAATTCTATCGACGTTACGTAGATGACACTTTCGTTATTTTAAATGAGGATCACGTCGATGACTTCCATGCAACCCTAAACAGCATTGAACCTTCAATACAGCTCACGCGAGAAGTTGAACAAAATAGCACGTTACCTTTTTTGGACGTAACTGTTTGCCGAAGTGACACCGGTCAGATTGAAACCACCGTGTATCGTAAACCTTGTGATACCGGTAATTTTTTTGAGTTTCAATTCTCACCACCCTGTAGAACATAAGCGAGCCGTTATAAAAACTTTAATTAGCCGATCAGAACATTTGCCTTCAAATTCAGATTTACGAGCATCGGAAGTTCAGACTGTTATCGGATCCCTTTTGAGGCGCGGGTATTCACAAGGTTTTATTGAAAACACACGTAAACAGATGCTGCAGGGAAGAACAAAAGCGACTAATAATTACAAAGCAGGCGTGGTGACTATCCCTTATGTAAAAGGCGTCTCAGAATCTATTCGTCGGTCCCTCCTGCCACTAGGTATACGAACAACTTTCAAACCCCATATAAAATTACGTGACCTCATTTCGAAGCCAAAAGATCCAACCCCTCCTGAATCTCAAAGTGGTGTTGTATACAAAGTGAACTGTCAGGACTGTGACAAGTGTTACATCGGAGAAACTGGCCGCAAACGGAGTACCCGCCTCAAAGAGCACAAAAGAGACGTGAAGAAGGCAACACATGCCACAAGATCAAAAACTGAACTGGTGGACCGTTGTTGGAAGACTGGTCACACTTTCGACCTGGCGAACGCTGTGACCCTGGCACGCGAACAACGGTGGGGCCCCAGAAGATTTCTGGAATCATGGTGTATTCGCAGTGACCCATCTGCCTGCAATTCTAACCGCGGCCCCCTCCCCGACGTATACACCGACATCCTGAAATCACTTGTCATTTAACTTACCATCCAGGACGGACATAAAAAGAAGTTGAAGCGAGGGCAGACGATGATAATGTCTCCCGTATGCCATGACGAAGAAGTCGGCAAAACCAGCGCCACGGATGAAGAGAAGGAAGAAGAAGCGTTGGATTTCTGGTAGCTAGTCGGGTGTTCCCAGGCCGCACTGATGATGTCTCCCGTATAGGAGACGAAACGTATGATAAATGTTTATATTGTTATGCAAGTCGGGGGTATTTGTTTTTAACCTTTTTCAGAGCAGGCTTTATGTCAGTTTCCCAACTGAGTTTTTCTAGTAATACTGGCCGAACCGAAATTTTCGCCGCGATCTTGAAACTGAACCGGCACTGCATAGGAAACACTATAACAGTAACCGGTTCAGAACGGTTCACGCTATTTTTTTGTATTACAAAATGAATATTTGAAAAATAAAAATTGGGAGCTGTATTCGTAAGTAGTGATCAAATTGTCATATTACAAATTGCAATTTATGAGAGCTTGTGGGTTTTCGTGGCGCTTTTGTATTGTCACAATGATTAATCATGTGTCGTGTGGTCACGTGGCGTCATGGTATCAAGGCATGCTGTCAAGTAATGTCAGGTCACGTGTCCTCGGGAAGTAGTCACGTGACAAATGTCGAGTTAAGTTCATAACTTCATTAGATTTATTAACGTTGTTGATACCGTGACGTCACATGGCGTTACGACCTTTCACCGCGAGTCACGTGGCACCTTGACTCACTCGAGTTTCATGAGGCCGAGCCGACTGCTCCGGTTCGTGACAATTAGCACCGCCAAACATTCGGGTAACGGTCCGTGTTCAATCAGAGGTGAGAATAGCCGAACTCTGGCAATATCTAAAGCTCAACCCATGCTTTATTCTTTGCCAACCCCAGCGCATGCCTTTAATGAAGACCTGTCCGCTCGTTCTGATTGCGAGTTGAGGAGGGGAAAGCTGTTTTTGTCCTTTATTTTTTCTGCGTCAGCCATTGAGCGGAGAAGATAACTAGTGGGTGTTTCTGGAAGTTACCAACGTCAGGAATTGACTCTTTTCGGTATATACTGAAACTACAAAAATTGCTGCAGGACCCATTTTACCTGTACACATCATTGGGGCACCATAACATGTTTTCGTTGTTGCTGAACTGTTTCAGAAAGTTGTCCCCGAGAAGAGAAGCATTGAAAGGGCTAAATTTTACTCTTTGATCCGACGGTAAATAGAACTGCAAGTGTGTACGGGAGAGATACCTGAAAAGAAAGACGACCCTAGTGGCCTCAGAGGTACAGCCGAACGTTGGCAGCCGCTCAAAAACTCACAGGAATGTCGTTCTCAAGTTCTTCCCAAAGCTTCGACCACCTCCATATGTTGTATATACTTCACAGTTTTGGGGAGTAAAATAAAAGAAATGGAGGATCCCTGTTAACAAATGAGACAAATATAATACAGAGGAGGGACTCCCTTAAGAATAAAAAGTATTCTCTGCAGGACCTCCGAAAAAAGAAGAAAAAATGAAAAAGGATTACAAATCTCTGTAATGCGAAATTAGAGCGCAGGTCTTGAGGAGGAGGAAAGAAGGGCACGGAGGGGAGGGCATGCCCTTCCTCCCTCTCCATACCCTCTCCTCCTCTCATCCTCCTCCTCCATTTCCTCCTCTCCTCTCCTCCTCCAATTCAGTTTCCTCGCTAAATTTAAAGGGAAAAATGACATCACATGACTTGGTGTCACATCACGTATGAACAAATTCAGTTTCTCCGCTAGATTTAGTGGGAAAATTAACATCACGTGCCCTCAACACCAATTCAATTTACTGTTAAATTTAGCGGAAAATTGAATTGGTGTTAACGGCACGTGAGGTCAATTTTCCCGTTAAATTTAGCGCGCTTACGCCGAGGCCGACAGCGACGCCTACGTCAATTAACCAGGAAACGAACGCTTAAGAGCTGCGCTCTAAAACAAAATGGAGGAAGGTAGTCTTAAAAACATACTTTGTTCTAAAGTTTTCTCTGTTGCGCATCTTCGGCACAGAGCAGAAAGCGCTATCCCGAAAACTATTTCGTTTGCAAAACCACTCCTTCAAGAAATGTCCGAAAGCGCGTGTTCGTGTTGCCAGACTCTCTCGCCGATTTTCACGACGCAGCGCCAAGCAAGAATAATTTGTGTATCTCGAATACATGATCTTGCACTGAGCGCGAACCTTCTGCAGCGTGCATTTCGCATTACTCTATCTTATTTTTTCAGCGAGAGCAAATCGCAATGACTACCAGCCTCTAGTGCGATGACGTCTGTATAATCAAAATTATAATTCATTTCATTTACTGTCTCTTCGAGATTGAAGATCGCAATGTTTTTTTAAATTTCAGAATAGAAGGTAATAGTACGAATAATAATAATAAAAAACGATATAGTTACTCGTTTCACGATTCAAACAGTGCCTATTGCTAAAATATATTCGCAATTTAGCGGTTCAAACCGGTTCGAACCGGTTCGAACTTTTATTTTTGCTCCCCGAAACTGAACCGGAATTGAAGCGAAAGAACTATGCACTAAGTGCGGACTATGCACTCGATGAGGACTATCTAAGCAAAATCTTTTATTCTGACCCCAAATTAACCCCTGCAGACTATACACCGGGTGCCGACTATAGACCGAAAAGAACGGCACATTATCGCCCGATCATTTTTAGAAACCATACTACTTTATTACAAAAAACGAAGAAAGCAGAAGTAACTAAATTATGATTAAGCATAAATCCAAGGAGCGGTAGAGAATCCTCAACTATCGTTACGTAAAAGCATGGAATGACCGTACGCAAATTAAATTTCTAAGTATGCATTTTAGTACTAAAACAAATATACCTACATATGTGCGTGATAGAGATGTCTACAATTCGCTGCGTCGTTTGCAGGTGTTACTTCTCTGTAATCATATAATTATGCTGTACGGCTACACAAATACGCTACTGCAAGTAATGTAATGGCACGCGCTCATTTATGTTGTAGTCGTGTTGAAGCCAGTGTCAGTGATAGAAGCGTTCGATTTGTTCTTTGTGTATGAGCTTTCATTGAAGGGTATGCATTCCTTATAGACGAACACCATTACTTTGTTGTGATTTAGAGTGGGCCAATGCCTGATTTTTACTGTCGACAGGATACGAATGCTTAAATGTGAGTAATACCCGTGCCCACACGGGCAACTCGAATTCCATTTACAACAAATGACATTTGAACGATCGGCCAATCAGCGCGCGACACCCCGAGCGCGGTGCGTTCCACGCGTCACAGATCGCGAACCCATTCGTCGATCACACGAATCCCATTCGTTGTGAAGGGCATTCGAGTTGCCCGTGTGGCACGCGTATAAGTGCCCTATTTAGTTGGCCCTGCCATGCGTCTTCCCGTAATATTTGGAAAAATAATAAGAAATGTTTCGTTTTGATGATTGCAGGTCCTAGAAGAAACGTCAGATAATACGTATTTTTTGTTGTTTCGCTCGGACGCTCCCGTTTTTGGGAAATGTATCTCTGCAACAGCAAATATTACAGACAAAACGAACAAAACCGCAAATTACACAATAATGAGTTACGATACGCAAGACCAGGAATAGTAAGTACTTCACTCATCAGCTAAATAATAATAATAATTTTATTATTATTCATTCTGCTTTCATGTTTGTTTTCGATATTTTCGGGCTCGTCAAAGCCAAAGTAGGCTTGTGGGACATGGCCCGGAAGAGGCAGTAAGTCCTTATATACATACTTAGTTAACAAACCAACACAAATAAACAATCATATTTTTTTCGGGGGTAGGGGGGGGGGGGGGGGGGGGCAGGAGCGGGAGCAGTCAGCCACTTTGTACATGGCACGCATAGAGATTGGCAATCACAGTGGACCGGTATAAACATTGTAGAGATATATGCCGGTAAAATAAAAAGGTTCCGACAAGGTTGCCAAAATAAAGGTAGGCAAACGAATAGTTAATCTAGGATCCAATCAATCAGGAATTTTTTTAGTTGCTTTTTTTGGTAAGTGTAAAAATGCCACCAGGAAGTGAATTAAAGATTTTCGGGACTTAAATATCACGAGTAGCTTGACCGTAGCGAGTATAAGAACGAGGCACAACATAGCGAGGACAAACTTTTTGAACTCGAAAAGACATGAATGTTTTTTTTTGTTTTTTTTTAAATCATTTATCAAAAAGTGGCGCAAAATTACTGAATACACGAACAACTTTTGGAAGGAAGGTAACCCAAGATACTCAAAATATTTCCGCATTCTGTCAAATCACAGTTATACGCCAAGCTCTTCAGTAAGTTCCGCAGAATATTATTGATCCGTACTTGCTATCTTATGGGGCAATTGGAAAAAAATACCGAATTCCATGTCTTAAAACGCCGTATGCAAAACTGCTGGCAATATCTCTGCGCACACAGATCGGCGCGAGATGTCTATTGGTGTACAGAAGCCAGGCAACACTTCTGAGTTTGCTACAAATATAGGACAGGTAGGTATTCCAAGCAAGATCGCTGTCAAAATGAACGCCAAGGTATTTCACTGAATTGACACAAGAAACCGCCATACAGGAACAAGAAGCACAATCGGAGGTGTGAAGTAACAGAGGAATTTTCGTCACAGTTTGTTTTAAAAAACTTCTAAAGCATACTAAACTAGTTTTTGAGGCGTTAACTTTGATACAGTTGTCAAGAAACCAGTGCATAGCAGTGAAAACAGCTCGTAGTATTCGTGCGGCCCTCCGCGGCGGCGGACCTATTGGCACTCACGGGCGGCGCAGGTTCAGGTTCTGCCGCGCCCTACCTCCTATATCATGTCACCATCAGGGTTGTAGGCTGACCTGTTAGTAAAGTCGCGCCGGTTGCTTCCTTGACGCCGCGTAGACGGCAAAGACCGATCCGCGGGCTTGACGTCACGGAGCTGCGGCGGCGCTGCGATCGCGCCGGAGCCGGGTAGTGTAGGCAAAAGCGCGCACGTTTCGCATGGGCGTCATAGCATTTCTGCATGCCGCGAAGCTGTGTTGCCGTTCATTGCACCGAAATGTGCAAGAAATGCAGCGGAATGAGTTTCCCCAACTTCCCGGCAGACTCTGAAAGTCATAGAAGTTTGATAACCGTGAATCGAAAAAAATGGTCGCCTCGCTGGAAAGACCGTTTGTGCGGCAAGCACTTTCTTGAAGGCAAGTGCGGCTTTCATTTCAATCTCCGTCCCGAGGCTTGCTTATGTGCAGGAAAACCGTTGTCTGTTCGAGATCACCCAGATTTTGTTCCCATGGTGTTCGCGCACAAAGCACCGGCCAAGCGCTCGTCGGAGGCTCGCTTGCCCGTGCTACCCAGCAGAGGGGGATCGGCGACAGAACGGCAGTGTTGTAGGGGTTACCGAAAAAAAAGTAACGAAATACGTTACTTGTTACTTGCAACCAAAAGGTACGCGTTACTCAGCTTCGTTACCTAAAAATAAAAGGAACGCGTTACCGTTACCGATAAAAAGTAACACACGTTACTTCGCGTTACCTTCTTTTAAATTATGATTTAACACATTTTATGGTTTTGACGATACAGGTCATATATCAAGAAACATTATGTTCATGCAGAAACTGAATATAATTACTTTATCTCTTTTTACGGTTTCACCTAAATACTCATGAGAGAAAACGTAAAGAAAAACATGGCTTGACGCCTAAAACACGGAAAAAAATGAAGTGTAATTTCTTTAAGACTTGGAAAGTAGTAACGAGTAACGTAGCTTGGCAATCACAGTAGGGAGTTGTAGTAGACCGTTTTTCTCCTCCGCTACGGTACCCGTGAAGAGAACGCCACAGCTGCGCATGCGCGCCGCCACCCTTGTCTGCATAGTTCAAGGTGTCGTGGCGGATTACGGACTTCTATCCGGGTGCTTAGCGGCCTGCGTAAACGGTCTTCTACAATTCCCCAGTAACGTAAATACGTTACCCGTTACTGTGTCGAAAACGTAACGAGTAGGTTACTAAGTTACTGAAAAAAGTAAAGCGTTACCGGCAACGCCGTTACTTGTAACGTGTTACCGCCAAGACTGCAGAACGGACAAAGCGCTACTGCTTGTCATGCATTGTGGTCATGAGGGTAAAAAAAATATCATAACTTGACTTGAGGACGCTGTGTGTATTTATTTGACTATTAAATACACTTCCGCAGTCCCACAGTCTGCTGATCCCGCCGGCAGTGCGGAAACCGACTCAAAGTAATCGTAGGCCTCGAGAGACTTGTACGCCTGCTCCGTGTCGGCCATGAACTGGCTTGGTGAAAAAACTAAATAAACGACAACGGGAGCAGTTCACGTCGGTGGCAGGAACTTTACGTCGAAAGTCCAGCAGGCCTTGTTTACGGCGCACGGATCCTCGTAGACAACGCCGTCCACGCACAGTTTGTTTCGATACCGCTGCCGTTCAGGCTCGGGCAGCGAGCTCAAATAGTCGGGCATAGCCTACGACATACTTTGTCAAGAAACACGACGGACAAATAAAGATGCAAGCGTCCCTGCAACGTCAACAACGAGCGCACGCCATAGAACACAATGGCGAAAACAAGGAGAGCCGGGCTGCTTTTGCCCACATAGCTACCGCACATGCGCGGCCTTCCGGCCGTTTTGGTAAACAGAGTCGTTCCGCGTGTCGGTCATCTTGCACCGCGAAGCATGTTACAGGGTGGCGTACCTCGATCGCTCCGGCCCATGGGCATTTTTGGGTCGGTTGTACGAAAACGCATACGAAATTTTCTCTACAAACTACCGTCCACCTCTGTGCTGTTAATTTGTCTTTTCCTGACCACCCCGTAGCAGTTTTACGCTTTTTAATAATAATGAAATTGTGAGGAACGGGAAAAGGAAGTTGGCGTTTATATTAAAACAGTGATGTCATCCAGCGCCTTGTGCTGGTTTGCTACACTGTGTAATGAACGGAAAAACAAAGAAAAAATAGAAAGGAGTAGAGAAAGGTAAGAAAACAAAATTGATATAAAGGAAATATGAGACAATATAAAAAAGTAATACAAGGTAAAAATTAAAAATAATTGTAGATGTGAGTGTTTCAATGGCAAGCGCCATTTATCACTTCAAATCACTTTAGAACAACACAGCCTATGTTGTAAACGAGTATTCTTCAAAAACTTCAGGAGAGCTTCTGTGGCCTTATAACCGTCAGAAGATGTCATCCAGGGACGAAACACGATGTCGATGCTTATTTGTTTTTCCTCTTTGATGTTGAGGTGTTTTTTCATTAACTGCCTTTCATGGCTGTACTCCTCGCATTCGCAGACTACGTGTTGGATGTTATGGACGCCGCCGCACGATGCACATTCAGGAGACTGAGCTTTTCCGATTTTGTGAAGGTAGCTGTTGGTATACGCAACTTTAAGCCGCAAGCGGTGTAGCACGGTCTCCGTTTGTCTTGGTAAACCTCGTGGAGCCCGAAACTGTAGCTTGGGATCAATATTGTAAAGATATCTGTAGTGGTATTGAGGGTTTTCCCAAAGAGACGATTTTTTGCTTGGCCAATGTTTCTTATCATGTTATTTGAATCTGGTCTCGAGAATGGAATAAAGACAATAATAATGCTTTCGTGCGAATCTCTAGCAGCTCTGTCGGCAAGAACATTTCCGGTTATACCGGAGTGGACAGGAACCCACTGTAGAATAAAATGGTGTCCCTGGCACGAAGCTTGGCAAGCTGCTTCCAAAATATCTTGCGCAAGCTGTAGATATGGGCTACCTGTTTTCATCGAGGAGAGGGTGTAGAGAGCGGGCTTCGAGTCAACATATATTGCCCGAAATTTAGGCTTTTCAGTTCCCGCTTGTGTCACTGTTGCTCGAATTGCTGCGAGCTCTGTCGCCGTTGATGAGGTGACGTGGCTCAGCTTTGCTTTTATGGATGTTCTCATAGAAGGAATGTAGACTCCCAGAGCCGATGAAGACGTCATTGTAGAGCCATCAGTGAAGATGTGGCGGAATGAGTTGTATGATTTATTGATGTATTCAAGAGCAACCTGGGTGATCATCGGCGCAGGCATCTTTGTTTTCGAAGTGATCCCTGGGATACTTGTTCTGATCTCTAATTGGGGGTACTTGCACGGTGGATATCTTGGAATTGTAGCCGCTTCAAATGATCTGGGAATATAATCCTCCAAAAGCGTGACTACTTGGGAAAATCCCGAGGATGGTCTCTCTTTTGAGATATTTGCTAGATGATGTTTATGTATTCGAGTTTTGTGACGAAGATGAGCTCGCAACGTTTCTTGTGTCCTTAAAATGGCGGGTGAAACTGCTCGTGGTTCGGCCAGTGTTCCCACATTCGATGTGCATTTCGGCAATCCTAAGCAAGCTCGAAGAGCTTGTGCTTAAGCACTTTCGAAATCTTTAGGAAGACACCGTGATACATTATGCATAACAGGAAGACTGTAGCGCATAAGGCCGAGAAACAGAGTATTGTATCGGGCCCTTAGCGCAGAGGCAGAAGATCCCCATTTAGTTCCACTAATCATTCTGATTATATCGATAAACGAGGTCAGCTTTTTCTTTAGGCGCTTTATGTGGGGGCTCCATGTCAGTTGCCTGTCGAGAGTGA